CCCGTAGTGGAGTGCCCCATGGCTCCTGCAGTGCGCGATGTACAAGGACTTTCGATGTGTAGGATTTCTTAAAGGACCGGCCCCCCTCCCAAGAGTGCCCCAAGACGGCCAGAGGCCACCAGAACGCCTCAAGAAGGCTCCAAGAGTCCAGGAAGGCCCCAAAAAGCCAAATCCAGTGTTTGTCACATGGTGTTTGAAGGAGTTCGACCTTCTCACCTTTTCGGACTTCGGACACTCCAAGACAGCCCAAGAGGCCTTCAACGTCGCCCCCAGACAACCCCAGAGGTCCCAAAGAGGGCCCGGCCCAAGAGACTCCGAAACCTATCCGAGATGCACCCATATTGGGGGAACTCGAGCTGAGATTTCGCGCTCTCCGCCCCAAGATGGCCCCCGACCCCCAAGGGGGGCCCCAGAAGCCCTGCAGGCCCCAAAGAGGCCTACATCAAGCCCCAGGAGGCCCAGGAGGCCCCCGGAGGCCTCCTGCAACGGGCTTCACAGAGGCCCCCCAAGAGATCCCAACAGGCATCCAAAGGCCTCTAACCTACGACGTAAACACTGTCGCGGGATGGGCCGAAGGCCACTAGATACGACATCAGCTTCACGGATGGAAGGCGGTTCATTTTCACAGTGAGGCTCTCGCTTGGTGCTTGTTCAGAGGTAGCGGCCACCAGCACGAAGAAAGCAACCGCTACATGGACGGAAGGCACCCCCTGATCAACATTGGGCTCCCGAAAGAGATTGCTTTCGATGCGTGACCAGGTGCGTGACAGAAACAGAGAGCGGCCCCGTTTCAAAATGGTGTTCTCGCTGGACGCGCTGTCGAACTTTACAATCGTATCTCTTTGCTCAATTCCTACGTAGAAAGAAACAGACCAGTCCCTCGTCAAAACAAGAGCTTTCGAATTGTCATACTACTTGGGCGCTCGTCTTTGAAGGGGGCGCTTCCCGCAATGGAAAAACATGCTTGTGGGAATTGAACCTGAAGGAGCTTTGGACGGAAGGGTGTACTATGGCAAATTCGGTACATCGTGGATTTGCTGGCGCCTGTTCTACTGATCCTCCTTCCCCTCCTCCTCATCCTCCTCCTCCTCCTCCTCCTCCTCATCATCATCATGTTCCTCCTCCTCCTCCTCCTCCCCCGCCCTCCTCCGCCCGTCTCCTTTTTCCTTCCCTCAAGCACAGGTGGTCATTTGCCGTCTAGCTCTGCGCCTCCACGTCGGCGCTTGAGGGGAACCGGGTCGGCTACGCCGCAGCTCGTGCGCAGCAGATTCCGGTGGGCAAAACAAGGCAAATTTGAAGTCGGGCCGCACACTTCGTTGTCTGGTTATTTCTCTGGAGGTTGGGGCAACGGGCGATGGCAGTCTCAACGACACCCGCTTCATCTCGGAAATGCCTGCTTCCCGCGATTGAGGCAGCCTCACAGGTGACTAAACTTCTGCGCCACTGGTGGTTTGGCGTTCACGTGGTGATAGTATGACAAGCGGTGCGATTTCCTTCTCATTGCGTTTTGGAACAAGGGCCCCTGGAGAGGACATTCCATAACCTATGTTTGTATCACGCCCTCCCTGGCGGTCGAGGTGCCAAGGATCCCATGCACCGATGGGGCATGCCGTCAGGGATCGATCGGCTTCATTTTCGCCCCATATGAATATTGCGGTGGGCGCTTGTCCAGTGGTATCCGTTTTCATCGTGCGCGTCTCGCACAAAGTCGCGGCGTTTATTTCTGTTCGATCCCACAAATTGATATCACGCTCCAGCGGTGGCCCCCGCGCGCGGACAGTCTTCCGAGGGACAGGAGGTGCGTCCACGCTCCAAAAATCGCTACTATTGCGCGGCAGAGGATCTACAGTGCCCACTAAAACACTTTAGAACATATCTGTCAAAGACGAAGACCATGTCTTGGGGAACCTCGCGGTGCATTCTTCTGGAGGCGCTGGAATAGGATCGGTGCTCGTTCTTTCAGTGGCCCCCCTTCCTCTCGTTGCGCACCGCGACAAGGTCTAATTGGGTTGGTCGCCGAGACCCCCCGCTCCCCGCCCCGTCGGCGCCCGCGCGCCCTGAGCCACAACGACCACGGGCGCCCACCGTCAGTTGGCAAAGGGCTCGGCAGAGCGGCAGAAATTGACGAAACCGCTAACTGGGCGCGACCTGAAGAACCGTTCGCGAATAACTCCTGCTCAATGGAATTGCCTCGAAGACACAATCGAGGAATCTGGCCCCACTTCCTCCCCGGCCTCCTCGCGGCCTGCGTAAAACGCGCTGGCCGACCAAGCGCGATAAATCTTGTGCAGGAAACATCGATATGTCATATTCCGTTTCGAAGCAACGTCGCCTCCTTCAAGCCGCACCACAGGGCCGGACGCGCCCCCCGCTGGCCGACGCGGAGCCTGATGCGGCTCGCAGACCTGTGCCCGCTATTGTGTGCCCACGATTTCCCATGTAATTCACAATGACAATAATGGGTTCGATTGAACGGGCGCCGTCCGGGGGGGCCTCCGCGGCACCCCATAACGGGCACGCCTCAGGAACCCGTTAAGGGGCACAGCCCTAGACGCGTTAGCGGGCACACCTCAGGGAACCATTGACGGGCACACCCCTAGAGGCCAGAAAATTAGCGGGCACATCATGGACCAAAATCAGCGGGCACATGATCCGAAATTGACTGGCACATGGTCTGAAGTTAACGGGCACATGGCAAACAATAGTTGGCATGCGTGTTTGAATGATGCTGGTTACGACGACGATGATGACGGTAGTCTTCCATAGGTTAAGCGGAACGAGCGCATTCACTTTTATGCGCTCGCTCCCAACGCAACCTGTGCTCGGCTGAGGCTCCGACCGTTTTAATCCAACTACGTCCTCCGTGCAAGCGATGGTATCCGCACCCATGAACGCGCATGGGTCGTCGTCGGCCATGAGACTCATGCGATAAGAGTGCGCCCCAGACGACGACGCTGGACGAAAGCAAACACAGAACAACCAAGCTCTCCATCGCTATGGAAGAATATCTCTGGGAATACGAGAACAAGTTTAAACGCCTATTGCTTAGGAAACAAACGGCACACCCTCTTAACGGGTCTGCTTGTAAAGTGGAGCAACAATAAGGTGAAGGTCTGCTCCTAAGTAGCTTGACGCAAGTAATGTCTAAAAACAATCACAAAAAGCAATATGGTGGGACAATTCAAAAGAATAATTATTCCCAACACTTTTACGACATTATAGAACACAAAAAGAAGGCGGGGCGAACCGGACCGCCGGGGACGTCCCAGCGTTCGCCATCTTGGGGACTTCTTGGGCGTCCTGGAGCGTTCTTGGGCTGTCTTGGGGGCCTCTTGGACCGCTCTTGGAGCTCTGTTGGCGCCTGCTGGGGGCCCCAGGGCCCCAGTGGCGCGTCGAGGGGCTGCCCTGAGAGCTACCAGCCCTGTCCCCCCCGTATATCGATGAATGTGAATACGTATACCTATAACGGTACATCTACACATGTTAGCCAGCGTGGACCACAGACAATAGGTGTGTGCAGTCTATGCAGTGCAATCTTTTCTGCAATCAAGTAGAAGTGAAGCAAAGCACAATCCAATAAACTAGACTAACATAAATCACATAAAACAGCATCAGGCAACCAAAAACAACATGAAATAACATAACGTAAAGTGAAGCAATGTAAAGTGACGTAAAGCAAAGGAAAACAAAGCAGCGTGAGGTAAAGTCAAGCAACATAAGTAACGCACAACAAAATAAAATAAAGGAATGTGAAACAAAATGAAACACGTAAAATAAAACAACATGGAATAAAGCAAAGTAACGTAAAACAGCGTGAAGCAAATACACACAAAGAGTAGCAACCAAAGTGAGGTAAGTACCGTAAAGAAAAATAACATGAAATCAATCAAAGTACGTCATAGTAAAGTAACGTAAAGTAGAACACATCACAGCAAAGTATATCAGTAATGCTAAATCTAGTAAATTACTGCAGCGCAGTAAAAGTGCAGTAAAATGAAGCAAGGTAGCAGAACATGAAGTAGCGTAAAGCAAAGCGAACAAAATAAAGAAAAAGTAAAGTAAAGCCACGCAAGGTAAAGCAAAGCAAACCAATGCAAAACAATGCAAAGCAATGCAAAGCAGGGCGGCAACGGACGGCATGGGCGGCGACGGGCGCCACCCATGGCGACGGCAACGGGCGGCAACGGATGGCAACGGGCGGCGGTGGGCGCCACCCACCCCGAGATGGTTAAGAGAAGTAAGAACCCCTTAGCTGCAAGCAGCTATGCATGCATACATGCATACATGTAGACAGACAGACAGACACACAGACACACAGACAGACCGGACCGGACAGACAGGCAGACAAACAGACATACAGGCAAACACGCATACAGCCATACACAAACATACAGGTGTGCATATCTCAACCGTATCGTTCCAGTCTCCGTTGAATATTTTCCAGGGGGAACAAATGAAGAATGATTCTTCGGCGGCGAATGAATTGCAGTCGGAATCCAAGGGGGGGAGGGGGGGGGCATCACTCTGTTCATGGGTTTTGGTCATCATTGCTTTCAAGTGGTGGGGCGGTTCTTCATCCCAATATCCATACTTGGTGGCGGTATTCAATGTCATGGATTGCCTAGACTATTTTCTGGTAGAGCCGTGAATTTTCACAATTGCTTAATTCAGGGAGGTGTCCTGGCGCAGCTTCTGTGTTTCGTGGAGGTGTTCTTCTTATGCGTGCGCGTGCTCTTCCTTGTCGTCTCAATGTTATACGGGAGCAGGGCACGTGTTCTGTGATATGACATCGTCATGGCTTCCACTCCTCCTCCTCATCCTCCTCCTCATCCTCCTCTTCCTCCTCCTTTCCTCCTCCTCCTCCACTCCTCCTCCTGAGCCTTCCTCCTCCTCCTCCTCCTCCACTTGTTCCTCCTCCTACTCCTCCTCGACTTCTCCTCATCTTCTTTCCACCTCCTCCTCCACCACCTCCTCCTCCTCATCCTCCTCCTCTCGTCGACCACCAGCCACTCGCCGTCGCGCGACATCCTCTGGACGACCCTCAGCCACTCGCCGTCGGGCGACAACCTCCCTGCCACGGTCTCGCCGTCGACAGCATGGTGTTGGGACCGGTCCTCGCGGTCCATGGACGCGCGGTAATGCACGCCCGGATACCTCTCCGCGAAACGAGCGGAATAACAACAAACAAACATGTCTTCCACAACGGAGGACGCTCGTCCCGGGGCGGTCGGAGTCTCTGCGCCCATCACAAACTTAGAGGCATCCCTAATGAGGACCGCGAAGACGGTGTCGAAGGATCGCGCCGCATCCGCGATGCATCGGCGCTGTCTGCCTGGAGAAAACCAAGCTCCACATCGAGCCGCATCGTCGATGCATCGGCGATGCGGCGCCATCCTCCGATCCGCTCTGCTGGTATAGAACCCGGGGGGGTAGCCTACCCTAGGCCCTACCCAAGGGCCTAGGGTAGCCTAGGGTAGGCCCTACCCAAGGCCCTAGGGTAGCCTATCCTAGGCCCTACCCAAGGCCCTAGGGTGGCCTAGGGTAGGCCCTACCAAAGGCCCTAGGGTAGACCTAGGGTAGGCCTTACCCAATGACCTAAGGTAGACCTAAGCATGTAGAGCCCGGAGGGTAGGCCTACCCTAGGCCTACCCCTAGGCCTACCCCCTAGGCCTACCCTAGGCCTACCCCTAGGCCTACCCCCTAGGCCTGCCCTAGGCCTACCCCCTAGGCCTACCCCCTAGGTTTACCCTGGCCTACCCTCTAGGCCTACCTACCCTAGGATAACCTAACCCTCGTACCCTACCCCTAGGCCTACCCCAAAGCCCTACCCCTAGGCCTACCGTAGGCCTACCCCTAGGGTACCCCTGGGCCTACCCCCTAGGCCTACCACTAGGCTTACCCCATAGGCCTACCCTAGGCTTACCCCTAAGCCTACCCCCTAAGCCTACCCTAGGCCTACCCCTAGGCCTACCCCCTTGGCGTACCCCCTAGCCACACCCTAGGCTTACCCCTAGGCAGTACCTCCTAGGCCTACCCTGAGCCTACCCTTAAGCCTACCCCCTAGGCCTACCCTAGGCCTATCCCTAAGCCTACCCCCTAGGCCTACCCTACGCCTACCCCCTAAGCCTACCCCCTAGGCCTATCCCTGGGCCTACCCCCTAGGCCCAGCCTAGGCCTATCCTAGGCCTACTCCCTAGCGTACCCTAGGCCTACCCCTAAGCCTACCCCCTAAGCCTACCCTAGGCCTACCCCTAGACCTACCCCCTAGGCCTACCCAAAGCCTACACACCCCTAAGCCTACCCCCTAGGCCTACGCCTATAGGCCTGCCCGCCCGCCGGATCGAGCAGACGGACCAGAACGGGTCGGGTTGGGTCGGGCAGGCATTAAAATGTGGAGCATGTTCGCACTGGCACGCGTGAACCCCAACGGGCGGGTCGGGTCGGGTCGGGCGGACCCTAACGGGCGGGTCGGGCCGGGCGGGCGGGACATTAAAGTATGGTGCGTGTACACTTGACACGCGTGAACCCTCACGGGCGGGTCGGGTCGGGTCGGGCGGGCGACCTAAACGGGCGGGTCGGGTCGGGTCGTGTCGGCGGAACCCTAACGGCGGTTCGGGTCGGGGGCTGGTGCGTGTGCACTTGACGCGCGTGAAACCTAACGGTCGGGTCGGGTCGTTTCGGGCGGGCGGACCCTAATGGTGATGGATCCCCCCCCCCCCCGGGTCGGGTCGGGCGGACCTAACGGGCGGGTCGGGTCGGGCGTGGCGGGACATAACATATGGTGCGTGTCCACCTGACGCGCGTGAGCCCGTTAACTGGGCGGGTCGGTCGTCGGGTCGGGGCGGGCCAGACCCTGACAGGAGGTAGGGTCGGGCGGACCCTAACGCGGGTCCGGGGGTCGTGCGGGCGGGCGCGCCATTAAAGTATGGTGGCCGTGTACATACACGCACGCGGAACCCTCACGGGCGGGTCGGGTCGGGTCCGGCGGGGGCGGCCCTAACGTGTGGTCGGGTCGGGCGGGCGGGACATAACGGGCGGGTCGGGTCGGGCGGCCGGGACATTAAAGTATGGTGCGTGTACACTTGTCACGCATGAGCCCTAACGGGCAGGTCGGGTCTGGCCGGGCGGACCCTAACGACGGGCGGGTCGGGTCGGGCGGGCGGGACATTAAAGTATGGTGCGTGTACACCTGACGCGCGTGAACCTTAATGGGCGGGTCGGGTCGGGGCGGGCGGACCCTAACGGGAGGGTCGGGTCGGGCCGGGCGGACCCTAACGGGCGGGTCGGGTCGGGCGGGCGGGACGTTACAATATGGTGTCTGTACACTTGACACGCGTGGACCTTAACGGGCGGGTCGGGTCGGGTCGTTCGTCCCCACCACCATCCCGGCCGTTTCCAGCACTTTCCCCACCACCAACACCGTCCCGGGCGGGTCGGGTCGGGGCGGGCGGGCGGACCCTAACGGGCGGGTCGGGTCGGGTCGGGCGGACCCTGGCGGGCGGGTCGGGTCGGGCGGCCGGACCTTAACGGGCGGGTCGGGTCGGGCGGGCGGGAGGGTCCATTAAGTATGGTGCGTGTACAACTTGCCGCGAGCGTGAAACCTTCACGGGGCGGGTCGGGTCGGGTCGGCGGGCGGACACAAACGGGCGGGTCGGGTCGGGCGGTCGGACCCTAACGGCGGGTCGGGTTCTGGCGGGCGGCAACATAAAGTATGGTGCGTGGTACACTCATTGACACGCGTGAACCCTCACGGGCGGGTCGGGTCGGGTCGGGCTGGGCGGACCCTAACGGGCGGTCGGTCCCCGGGCCGGGCGGAACCCTAACGGGCGGGGGGGGGGGTAGAGGGGGTGTCGGGTCGGGCGGGCGGGACATAAAAGTATGGTGCGTGTACACTTGACACGCGTGAACCCTCACGGGCGGGTCGGGTCGGGTTGGGCGGGCGGACCCTAACGGGTGGGTCGGGTCGGGTCGGGCGGACCCTAACGGGCGGGTCGGGTCGGGCGGGCGGGACATTTTGCCTGTGCATCGGCCAGCTGCTGGTCTAAAGCAGGGACAAACTACGCCGAACACTGCCCTCCATGGCGTCGCATTCCGGGAATGACCGCCAGGTCCAATGAACCCTCCTGACGCAAACCAACACTGGCAGCGGGGATCGATTCGCTCTTCCACTTCGCGAGAAGGGGGGCGGGGGAGTGACAAGGAGGTCTGCGGATGAGAGGGAAGAGGAATGCTGAGGTAGAATGAGGGATGAAGCTTGAGGAGGGGTGAAAAAGAGAAGTGAAGAGAAGAAGAGCGGAGGAGGAGAGGAGGATAAGCGAGGAGAAGGGGACCTGGGGGTAGGCCTAGGGTCAAGCTAGCCAGCTCGAGCGAGTCAAGCATGGCATGCCCATTCCCACCCGCCCTCCCACAACATAAGAAACAGTGATGGCACAACTGGGGGTTGCGCGGGCATTTCAGTGCGAGTGGAGGATACCCCAGGGCACCGCATTGACGTCCGCGCGGGATGCGCGCCGCGTCCCATTCCCGCCACGAAGTTCGCAACGTCGACGACAAGACTGGCCATGTTGGAAGGAACAACGGACACGTTCCGCCCTCCCACAACATAAGAAACAATGCTGGCGCAACTGGGTGCTGGCGCGTAGTGGTAGTAGTAGTAGTAGTAGTAGTAGTAGTAGTAGTAGTAGTAGTAGTAGTAGTAGTAGTAGTAGTAGTAGTAGTAGTGGTAGTAGTAGTAGTGTAGTAGTCGTAGTAGTCGTAGTCGTAGTCGTAGTCGTAGTAGTCGTAGAAGTAGTAGTAGTAGTAGTAGTAGTAGTAGTAGTAGTAGTAGTAGTAGTAGTAGTAGTAGTAGTAGTAGTAGTACTAGAAGTAGTAGTAGTAGTAGTAGTAGTAGTAGTAGTAGTAGTAGTAGTAGTAGTAGTAGTAGTAGTAGTAGTAGTATCGGTATGATTGGTAGTAGTCGTAGTATCGTAGTAGTAGTAGCAGTAGTAGTCGTAGTAGTAGTAGTAGTAGTAGTAGTAGTAGTAGTAGTAGTAGTAGTAGTAGTAGTAGTAGTAGTAGTAGTAGTAGTAGTCGTAATAGTAGTAGTAGGTAGTAGTACGTAGTAGTAGTTAGTAGTAGTAGAGTAGTAGTAGTCGTAGTACTGTTAGTAGTAGTAGTAGTATTAGTAGTAGTGAAGTCGTAGTAGTAGAAGTAGTAGTAGTAGTAAGTAGTATATCTAGTATACTAGTAAGTAGTATTAGTAGTCGTCGTAGTAGTAGTCGTATTCTTAAGTCGTAGTAGTTCGGAGTAGTACGTAGTAGTAGAAGTAGTCGTTGTCTTAGTAGTCTTAGTCGTAAGTAGTAGTCGTAGTAAGTAGAGTAGTCGTAGTAGTAGTAAAAGGCGCAGCAGCAGCAGCAGTAGTAGTAGTAGTAGTAGTGTTAGTAGTAGTAGTAGTAGTAGTAGTGTAGTATAGTAGTAGTAGTACTAGTAGTAGTGAAGTAAAAAAAAAGTAGTAGTCGTATGTAGTAGTAGTGTGGAGTAGTAGTAGTATAGTATTGGTGGTAGTAGTAGTAGTAGTAGTTGTAGTAGTAGTAGTAGTAGTAGTAGTAGTCGTAGTAGTAGTCGTAGTAGTACCAGGAGTAGTAGTAGCAGTAGTAGTAGCAGTAGTAGTAGCAGGAGTAGTAGTAGTAGTAGTAGTAGTAGTAGTAGTAGTAGTAGTAGTAGTAGTAGTAGTAGTAGTAGTAGTAGTAGTAGTAGTTGTAGTAGTAGTAGTAGTAGTAGTAGTAGTCGTAGTAGTAGTCGTAGTAGTACCAGGAGTAGTAGTAGCAGTAGTAGTAGCAGTAGTAGTAGCAGGAGTAGTAGTAGCAGTAGTAGTAGTAGTAGTAGTAGTAGTAGAAGTAGTAGTAGTAGTAGTAGTAGTAGTCGTCACAACCAATTGCCCTAGCCAGCCCAACCAGCCAGCCCAACCAACCAGCCACCCAAACAACTCAACCGGCTCAACCAGCTCAACCAGCCACCCCGCAACCCCAGCCAACCCGCCACCCCGCCAACCCGCCCACCCCCGCCGCCTGCCCTCCGTCACCGTCGAGAGGGGGGGGGAAGTGTTTCTTACAAGCGAAAACCACAAAAATCACCCTCCCGGGGTCCGGCGGGACAGCGGGGGGAGGGGAAATCGCACCGTACTATGCGGGAGCGGGATTCGCGCCAGAGGTGCCCAAGGACGATTTGGGGCCTCAAGTGCGACACTGTCGTCACTTTATTACCTTTCACCGCGCTCCCCTTCTCAACGGAAAGGCTCCCATCCGTGAAACTGTCGTCATTTTTCAGCCCCCGTGAAGTTGTTTTCATTATTCCGCCCCCGCGAGAGGGTTCTGAGAGGGCCCACGGAGGCTCCAGGAGGGCCCATGGCGGCCCCGGGAGAGCGCATAATATCTCAAGAGCACAGTTGAATTACACTCAGGGAGCTCCAGAGGGTCCACGAGGCTCCAAGAGGCCCCAAGAGGCTCCGAAGAGCCCAAACAGGCCTCAGGACCCCCAGCCCGCTCTAGGAGAGCCAAAGCGACACCAAGAGGCTGCAGGACGGGCGTCATTCCCTCTCCTCCTGCTCGTCGTCGTCTTCCGCCTCCTCATCCGTCCTGCTTTAAATCTTTCCAACCCCTCTTCCTCCTCCTTCTCCTCCTCTTTTTCCTCCTCCTCCGCCTCCTCCTCTCTTCCTCCTCCTCCTCCTCCTCCTCCTCCTCCTCCTCCTCCTCCTCCTCCTACCTCATCCGTAGCCTCGATGGCTCCGATAGCGCCGTGCGCGAGATCCGCCTCCTCCCCATCCGTCCTCCTCCCTCCTCCCTCCTCCTTCCCTCCTCCCTCCTCCCTCCTCCCCTCTCTCGGGAGCGTCACAAAGAGGCCCTCCGAGGAGAATTTCACGACAACAAGGGCGCCGACACGATGAACAGACACCACGTCGGGGCTCTGGGAACGGAGTCGAAGACGAAACCTCGAATAACTTAGTCTTCGATGTTCGGGGCATTTTTCTGACCACCTGCGAGCCTTGTGGAAACTTCCGAGAGCCTCAGGGGTGGACGTCTGGCGCAAGAACACGAGTGGAGGAGGAGACAACACGACGCTCCACGGAGTAAACTGCACCCAGTTGGTTTCTACCCCCGTGAGGGGCGTTATAGGGTAGTAGTAGTAGTAGTAGTAGTAGTAGTAGTAGTAGTAGTAGTAGTAGTAGTAGTAGTAGTAGTAGTAGTAGTAGTAGTAGTAGTAGTAGTAGTAGTAGTAGTAGTAGTAGTAGTAGTAGTAGTAGTAGTAGTAGTAGTAGTAGTAGTAGTAGTAGTAGTAGCCCTGAGTCCCCGAAAGATCGTTCCAAGACGCCCAAGATGGCCTCCAGTCGGCCGTAGCGCCAAGAAACCGCGGGGAGACTCAGGAGGCCCTCCAAGAGCCTGAACAAGCAAAAACCTCCCAGGCATTCGTCACCCCAGGGGCTCCTGGAACGCCCTGGCGCCCAATGAATTGGCGAGCTAAAAACGTGCGCCGAGCCAAAGCGGGAGCGCAACTTTGAGAAAATTTCGCTCGGCGCCCAAGCGAGAAGGTCATTTCATTCACTTCGAGCGGGGGGGGGTGTGCCGCGCCCAATTCTTGCCATGCACTTTTGCGGGGTGGACGACAAGAACAGCTATGTGGGCAAGCGAAAATCAGCATGGCATTGCTTCTGACAAATAAGGTGGCCCCTCCCGCCTTGGGGTTGCCCCAGAAGTCCGCGCGCGATGTGCGCCGCGCCCCATTCCTGCCACGCATTTCGCATCGTCGACGACAAGACAGGCCATGATGAAAGGAAAAACGGCAACTCTGTATTGTTTTTCACAATCAGGATGGGAGGGCCCGCAGCCCGCATGGACGTCAGCGCGCGATGCGCGCCGCGTCCCATTCCTGCCCGTATTTCGCACCGTCGGCGACAAGGCAGGCCATGCTGAGAGGAAAAAACGGAAACTTTGTATTGATTTTTTACAATCAGGATGGGCGGGCCCGGATCGACGGCCACGCGCGATGTGCGCCGCGTCCCATATGTGCGCCGCGTCCCACTGTTGCCACATATTTCGCACCGTCGGTGACAAGGCAGGCCATGCTGAGATGAAACAGCGAAGACTTTGTATAGATTTTTTACACTCAGGATGGGCGGGCCCAGATTGACTGCCGCGCGCGATGTGCGCCGCGTCCCATTCCTGCCACGTTTTTCGCATCGTCGACGACAAGAAAGACGATGTTGAGAAGAACAACTGCCACTTTGTATTGATTTCTTATAGTCCGGATGGGAGGTCCCGGATTGGGCCGCTATCGGCCGGAATACGAGGTAGGTGGGGGTATATTCTAATAAGGAACAAGGATAGGCCTAGGGGGTAGGCCTAGGGGGTAGGCCTAGGGGTAGGCCTAGGGTAGGCCTAGGGGGTAGGCCTAGGGGTAGGCCTAGGGTAAGCCCAGGGGGTAGGTCTAGGGGTAGGCCTAGGGTAGGCCTAGGAGGTAGGCCTAGGGGTAAGCCTAGGGTAGGCCCAGGGCGTAGGCCTAGGGGTAGGCCTGGGGGGTAGGCCTAGGGTAGGCCTAGGGGGTAGGCCTAGGGGCCTAGGGGGTAGGCCTAGGGTAGGCCTAGGGGGTAGGCCTAGGGGTAGGCCTAGGGTAGGCCTACCCCCCGGGTTCTATATGGCTCTGCTCCGACCCCATCTGGGAGGCCTAGAGAGCTGCGGGCGCTCGCAGCTTCTGTTGGCGGCGAGCCCGGGGGGAGTTAGAGCAGGCGAGCCTTCTCCGAAGGCTCGAAGGCCTCGGGCCTTCTGAACAGTTTTCTGAGCCTCCTCCGAAGGCACAGGACACTTCTCACAAGGGCGCGAGGGCTTCTGAGAAGGCTCGCCGCCGATACAGAGCTGCGAGCGCTCGCAGCTTCTGGCCGCCCTGACCCCCCCGGTGCAAAACCTTCGCCCAGGCCACCCTTCGCCCACCGAGCCTCGGCGGCACGTGCACCCGGAAGACGCTCAGGCCGCTCCGGGTCGGAGACGCAGGCCCCGCAGACCTGAGAGGCGCGGGGCGGCCCGGGCCTCCCGAGGGGCCTGCCGCAGCAACCGCCGGATCGTACAGTCAGAATCCATGGTAAGTCAGTCAGTCCTGCCATACGCCGGAGCGCGTGGGCGAAGCAGAGTGACAGAACGCACACTCGCTTTCAGCCTCCGCGTTGCAACTGCTTTGGGGGTGCCGACTTCCGGCGACGGTGTAAAAAAAACTAAGATGGGGTTAACTGTACAACCGGCTGTCTTGGGGGAGCGGGAGAGGGAGAGGGGGAGGATGCAAGGTAAGGATGCAAGACCCTTGGAAGCCCCATTTACGACTTGGTGCTCCTTCGACGTCACTATTGGCTCAGGATGGGCCGTAGAAGCAGGGATGCAATGGTAGCCTCGATGAAGCAGCAGATCCTTACTACAGATTTTGACTGCAGACCCCCTCAGCCTCCTGCCTTGGCGGCGCGCCACGCAGGAGAAGACGACGACGACGACGGCGACGGCGACGGCAGGGCGAGGTTAAAAGACTTCCGAAAAGGCGGGGGGCTTCGTCGAGGGGACCAGCCCCACCCTGGGGGCCTCCTGGGACGGTCTCCAGGTCGGGTCGGACGACGGAGGGGGATTGGTACGGGGGGACGGCGCCTCCTGGCACAGTGGGTGGCCATGCATCGGGGACAGCACCTGGCGGCGAGGCAGAGACCAGCTTCAGCAGTTTTCGCACCCCCCCGCTCCCCCACCCACCCTTCGTCGCCCCCGAGTGATCTTCGTCGTCTGGTTTTCTCGAGCGGGTGGTAATGAGGGCTGACCTAAGTGGGAGGGTGAAGACAAGGGCCCTAAAGGGGCCTTTCCTTTTGGAGCCAGCAGGGGCCCAAAAAGGGTCTTTTTGTTAACACCACTTAATTTAGGTTACCCCCCATCACCACCCGCTCGACTTTCGGGTCATTCCTTGGATATCTGGCCGCGAATCGGGCACCCCAAGATTGCTCTCTCGGCGAGGCGAAACTGCTGGAGAGCATTCAGGGGGTTGAAAAAACGCGGAAACCCAACGAAAGCGCCCGAAAACCTCAAACCCTGGACCCATTTCAGGAGGAGGAGGAGGAAGAAAGGAGGAGGAGGAGAGCTTAAGGTAATCGTGCCACCATAAAGCATGCTGAATCCGCCGGCCCCCTCGTGGGGCCACCAAGCTGTAGGACGAAGGTTCGCAATTTCCTGTACCAGTTGCAGCTTCCGGTTTCCACTGTTACAGTTCTGCTTCTTGCTGCTTGCTGTTACAGTTCTGCTTCTTGCTGCTTACTATTCCTTGTTGATGGACCGCGCGAGGGGGGGAGGCCCAAAACTGGCATCTTTACTACGCCCTGAGCGTATTGTCTGAATTGCTGGGGTGGGTAAAAATTGACACCCCTCGCGTAGATCGGCGGGGTCAGGGTCCAAAAACACATGGGATTTGCCCCATTTCTAAAATTCGGTGGCACCCCTCACTCAGATCGGTGGGGTCAGGGCCCAAAAACACATGGGATTTGCAACATTTCTGACATTCGGCGGCACCGCTCACGCAGATCGGCACAAAGGATTTGCTACATTTCTGACATTCGGTGGCACCCCTCACTCAGATCGGCGGGGTCAGGGTGCAAAAACATGATACCGGAGAAACCCAATCAGATTTTTGTTTATCTTCCAATTGCTCCCTTTGTAATCGGGCTATAGGGCGGGCTATAGGGCTATAGGGCTATAGAGCTATCGGGCTACAGGGCTATAGGGCTATCGGACTATAGGGCTATAGGGCTATAGGGCTATCAGGCTATAGGGCTATAGGGCTATATCACTGTGACCTATAGGGCCATAAGGCTATAGGGCTATGGGGCTATAGAGCTACATGGGCTATAGAGCTATCGGGCTATAGGGCTATCGGGCTATAGGGCTATAGGGCTATGGGGCTACTGGGCTACTGGGCTATGGGGCACCCCCGGGCACCCCCGGGCACCCGGGCCGGCCACCGAAATCAGCCGCACACCGGGCACCCAGGCACCCGGGCACCCCCGGGCACCCGGGCCCGGCCACCGAAATCGGCCGCACCTCTCACCTAATCCTTTAATCCGCTAGGACCCCTACAGAGGCAAGCTCTGATTGGGGAACAAGGGATTTGCCACATTTCTAAAATTCGCTGGCACCCCTCACGCAAATCGGCGGGGTCAGGGTCCAGCATGATCGACCCACGAACCCGGAAAGGAATATAGAACTGTAACACATGGGAGCGTTTTCAAAGACACCTGATTGGGTGACGGGCAAATGCAATGCTGAATGTATCGATCTTGATGTACCCTGCCGAGGGCTGTGCTGTGCTGCACCGTGCTGAATTGCGATGTGCAATGGCGCGATTGTGCTCTATAGCGTCGTGGATCGAGTCCTCCTTTGTTTCCGAGTCCTGACCGAACTGAAATGGATCTTAAACTCGAGCTGCCTGAAGACATAGTAGCTGCCACAGAGCTAATGGACAGGGGAGCATGCCAGGAGGACGCGCCGCGAAACGTCCCAAGTGATGCGCCAGGCGACGTGCCAAGGGACGTGTCATGGGGTCGCACCGCGGGACGTGTCAAGGGGACGCGCTACGGAACGTGCCAATGGATGTGCCACGGGACGCGCCACGCGACGTGCCAGGGGGACTCGCCAAGGGACGCCCCACGGAACGTGCCAAGGAACGTGCCAAGTTGCAATGCTGAATGTATCGATCTTGATGTACCGTGCCGAGATATGTGCTGTGCTGCGCCGTGCTGAATTGCGAAGTGCCATGCCGCGATTGTGCTCTATAGCCTCGTGGATCGAGTCCTCCTTTGCATCCGAGTCCTGACCGAACTGACCTGCTGGATCTTAAGCTCGAGCTGCCTGAACACAGAGTAGCTGCCCCAGAGCTGATTGACAGGGGGACATGCCAGGAGGACGCGACGCGGAACGTCTCAAGGGACGCGCCAAGCGACGTGCCAAGGGATGTGCCATGGGGACGCACCGCGGGACGTGCCAAGGGGACGCGCTAAGGTACGTGCTGGGGACAAACGTTTCGCTTGAGAAATCCTGTCAAAATCATCAAAATTCCTGCGCGCGGGACGCGGCACGCGCGAGACATCCTCGGAATTCCTTCGAGCGGGACGTGAAAACAAGCATTTCGCCTGAGACATCCTCTGAATTCTGGCTTCCCACGAGGCCCCCGCTCGAGACACCCCCCAAATTTTGTAAAACCAGAGTTTCGCTCGAGACATCCTCAACAAATTATGAAACAAACAAGTATTTCGCTCGAGACATCCGGCCAAATTCAAAGAAATCCTGGCAAAAAAGCGAATTACTCAAGACATCCTCAAAATTCCTGCGCGCGGGACGCGGCACGCGCGAGACATCCTCGGAATTCCTGCGAGCGGGACGTGGAAATATTCGATGGTCTATCTGGGAGCTACGATTTCGACCACTGGCCAGCTTCGCGGAGAATTGGGGAAAAGATTAGGTGCTGCTTGGGGCGAGTTTTGCCGACACAGCCGTGCCTGGAAGCATGCAGCCATTAGTACAGCTAGGAAAATCCAAGTCTTTCAGGCCTTAGTGACTAGTAAGGTCATGTATTCATTGAATTCGGCATGGCTTAACAAAGCCGAGCGTAGAATGCGTGCCGACTTTCAAGCGAAATGCATGCGTCGCATCTTGCACGTACCCCACGCGCACGTATCACGAATCTCGAACCAGGACGTGCTGTCGAGAGCCGGGCAGCAACCGTATACGACACAACTTTTAAAGCATCAACTTTTATGGTTTGGAAGAAAAAGCAGGGCGCCCAACTCTGACTTTCTGCGCCGCCTTACTTTTCAACCTAGCAGTGTGCGTCCAGCCACCGAAGCATGCGCCAGAGTTGTAGGCAGGCCAAGGCATGAATGGGCGAAATGTTTGCATGTCGCTATCGTTCCTCATTTTTCGCAATGCATCAGCGAGCCTGGCACAAATTTGTTATAGATTTCGTCTCCTTCCCCCCTCCTGCCCCTCCTCCGCCTCCCTCTCTTCCTCGTCCCCCTCCCCATCCAGGAACAAACGATGTGAATTAGACATGACGCGGCTCCCGCAAAGCGGAGAGAACAGGCGCAATGTCTTGTTTGTTTCTTGCCCACGCGCTCCGGCGTATGGCTCAACTGACTGACTCGCCTGAGGCATCCTCTGCATTCTGGCCCCCCACGAGGCCGCCGCTCGAGATATCTCCCAATTTTGCAAAACCAGCGTTTCGCTCGAGACATCCTCAACAAATTATGGAAACATGATGGACCCATGAACCCGGAAAGAGATTAGAACCGCATGCATGGAAACGTTTTCACGACACCGTCACGACACCGCATTGGGCGACGGGCACTTCCACGAGACACCCCGCGAAACATTCCACGAGACACGGGCGACCGTTTTCAACGTTTCCCCACCTGCTCCTCCTCATCCTGCTCCTCCTCCTCCTCCTCCTCCTCCTCCTCCTCCTCCTCCTCCTCCTCCTCCTCCCCCCCCCTCCTCCTCCTCCTCCTCCTCCTCCTCCTCCCAGTTTCCCGCGCTGCGTCAAAAGGAGAGAGTGTCTAGCTAACTAATGACCGAGTGACGTGGGCGCGCGGTGCAATATGTGCATCGCGCCCCATAAGGCATATCTATAGGCACATACGTCGTGCCCCTGGAGAGGGCAAATCTCTGGGGCGCCCAGGTCCCACGTTCAACCTCGAACGCCCGCGCGGGTGTCGCTGCCGCGTCGAATCGACCCGAATCTGCCGTACCCCGGAATCCACTCAAAACGAGCCCCTGGACCCGTCCCGGAGTCCAAAAGCACAAATTTCCCGCGCTGCCTCAAAAGGAGAGAGTATCTAGCCAATTCATGACCGAGTGAGGAGGGGCAAACGGTGCGATATGTGCATCGCGCCCAATATGGCAAATCTGTTGGCACATACGTAAAAACACACGGATTCGCGTCCCTGGAGAAATCAAATCTATATGCACATACGTAAAAACACATGGATTC